ATTATCAACTAAGTAGAAAGTTTGTTCAGCATAAAGAGAACGAGATTTCTTCTTGATAGATACATCCCTGAGAAAAAAGAACGACGAAACTACATCGATAAAACGTAATAAAAAAAAGCCAATGATGTAGCAATGAAAACGGTGAAAACCGCATGGATCCATCTAGCTCTGATAGAATAAAAGAACGATCGAAGAATGAACGAAGAAGATCTGTTTCTTGAAATTTGCTATACACATCACTGGTCCGAAGCTAATGTGATCTGGTTATCTCTTTGAGAGATTCGATTCAAGCCGAGGCGAGCACACCTGCCCAACATGGCTTCCGCGGACCCAGTCGGGTCACGGTTAGGAGTCCCACCGTCCAGCGCGGACGGCCATGTTGGAAATCGCCGATAGCCCACGGGGAATGCTTGAACGTGGTCCCAACAACAACTCCGAAACATATAAAATCTATTCGTATAATCTCACCCGTTAAAAACCGTTTCTATCTGGATCCGTCGATTATTCTGCCGGAACGAACCACGGTCGCATTTTGCGGTCCTGGACCCCGTCTCGATCCAGCGTCTTGGATCAGCTACATTGATTATCCGAAAAAAATCCTTCAGGCACTTATTTCATCGGACACTTCCACTTTATCCGACACGTACACTTGGCTAACTGCACTTCGGGACACTTGCACTCGTTCGGGATCGGTTCGCTCCAGTTCCAGATAATCCAAACCCGTTTTGGTCTCCACCCTGGCGAACGGTAACCGTCTCGCGAACTTTCTTTTTATCGATCCAGATTCAAACGATTATTTTTCCAATGGTTTTCAGAAGAAGACGCGAGGAGATCGAGAGAATAGGGAGCCGCGCGTTTTACTGCGTGTCGGACGCCGCCAGGTAGGCTACCTCCGCGCACACCCACGCGATACGCGCGCACACACAGGTAGCAGAAGCCGTGCCGCGGCACACGCATACGCACACGCACGGGTACAGGTATACGCGGTATGTATAAAAGCAAAGCCAGCCTCGGCTTCGGTTTTCCGTTCCTCGGCTGCCGCTAGTAGCGCTGCTGCTGGATGCTGCGGGACGACTGCGTCCCCCCTTTCGTCCACCCGGGCCACCAAGAGTCCGCCGGGATACGTACTGGCCAATGGGTGTCCACGGGGCAAGGGGAACAAGGCCCCTCAGCGATGGGAACAAGGCCCAACTTCGTCCTGGACCAACTGCAATTACTATGATAAAGATTCAGCTAAGAGATTCTTATCATAATCGATAGTGGATCTTGTATTAGATTCGTGAAACGATTAGAATATGATTGATTTAAACCACTTCGTATTAATTAAATTGAATTAGATTACCAAACTTCATTCTGCCATGAATTTTATTTCGTCGTATGAATGCAATTCATGTCTAGCTTAGAAGACATTGATCAGAATCTGTTAGAGAAAGTTCAGTATTATAGACAGTATGATTTACTCAGATAACGAAAGATGCAGTCAATTCACCTTAATATAATTATATTACAGTTCGTAGGAACCGATATAGTAGTTCCAGAATGATTTTATCTATTTTAGAGGAATATTTCGAATTCTAAGTGGTACAAGTCAATAATTAGGAATATCTAGACCTGATCTGATTTTGATCGAACATGTAACGTGTCTTTCTTTTTATACATCCCATTGGAATGAACATATTAGTTGATTCATTATATCATAAATGTATCATTTTCTTTTAATTTCATATACTTAATTAATTATTCATCACACATGGTTTTTTAAATTATATCATTCCTTCTCATGAATTATGATTTATATCAGGTCGATCGCTTCTTGAACTGATGATTGTTGCTCTTGGTTTGAATCCATCGCTGGGCAAAGAACCAGAGAGAGGGAGAGGTATCCAGAGTATCCTATCTACCGGACCAAGGTACAGAGTACCTTAGACGCGCAGGTTGAACGCAAGAGGGTTTAGGTAGGGACCTGGTATGAGGAACAGGTGCGTAATACCTTGATACAGTGCCCCCCTCCCGAATCCTGGACCCGTAAACACCAATTTTTCCCTCCTACCCTTCTCATATCTATCTTTTATGCAATCCCGAATTCTATCTAACCGTGGCAAATTCGCTTAAGTAATTGATTGAACACAATGAATTAGGCTCTAATTTTAGGCTCCTGTTGGGCTTCAATGTATATGTAGAAATAATCGTGCATAAAGTCCATGTATTGATACTGTAATTAATGAATCATTTGAGATTTTTATAAAAATTATAGTAAATTATTATACACGGTTCACAATTAATTAATTCAGCAGATGTAATCAATATGTTTAT